GCCTCCTAGGAGCTGTGGGTCAGGGAGGTGGAGGGGGCATGCCTCAGTTTCCCCCTTTGGGCCCTGACCTGGTAATTTCAAATGAATGCTCCAAGGTGAATTGGTGCTACCTGCTGCGCATGCCCCCTCTTCCAGACCCTGCTTCCTCCCAGAGCTGGGGGAGAACCCAGGTGTCTTGGCTCCCAGCTCTAATCTACCATTCCCCCCTCCTTCCCACTGCTGGAGGGAGAACTCGGGTGTCCTGGCTCTGAGCCCACCCTGCTGTCCCCCACCAGACCCCGCTCCCCTCCCAAAGCTAGGAGAGAACCCAGGCATCCTGGCTCACTTTATCTGCACAAAACCCACTGCTGTCCCCTCGCCCTCAACCCCCCAACCCCACTCGGATCCCCCCAGATTGCTTTAACACTCTATTCATCAGGAAGGGACCATGTCAAGGGAATCAAACAAGCAGGGTCCTATGGAGAGAGACAGTGGGGGATGGGGGGGCAAGTCTGGGCCTCTGGCCTCAGTTTCCCCAGCTTTGGCCTGCTTTAATGAGCAGCTCCTTGAGGGTGGCATGTATTACAGCCTGCATAGGTGGGGGCACCCATCTCAAGCGGAGGGTGGAGGTTCTGCTCTGCCTAGGGCATGTCAGTTTTACTCAAGGGGGGCCTGTGCTGTGTCTGGGGCAGGCAGGGGGCACCCTGGTCTCTGCCTAGGGACTACTACTTGGCACAGGGCACCCCATGCTTGGTCAGGGGGTCCTATTCCGGTGACAAATGGACTGCTACCTCCACAGCTGCCTATATGCACCCACATGCAATAGCTCTTCTTCTCTGCCGTGAGGTTTTTTGACAGGGGGGGAAGCAGGGGGGGAAGCAGGCGTCTTCCCCTATGCCTTTGCCTCCTGGATGTCCTGGTGAGGTTGGAACTGGCTGTGAACCCAGATCAGCAAAACCCCAAGTGCCTTTGACTGTCATCAAGGTGCCAGAGAGAAAATCTGGCTGTCTTGGTGCCAGGTATGGAGGGGCAGGGGGGGTCCTCCAGGTGGGTCAGGGGGCAGCACCCCCTACCATACATGTCAGCTACTCAATAAAGATGATCTGCCAGTCAGTCTTGTGATCTAAGTTTTATTGGGTACCTGGAGGGGGGGGGGGTATCTCCTCCCAGCTGAGGGAGTATCCTCACTGGTGAATTGGACAATAAATGTAGATGGGCTCCACATGCAAAACAAGGATCACACTGCAGCAGCTGCAAAAAAGAGCTGACCAGCTACAGAGTCAGCACTTGAAAGGGTGTAAAGCAGACCAGGTTCTTTGGGTAGATGGGAGCTCTTCTATTAGACCAACTAGGGAGTTGGACAAATTGTTCTTTGCAAGCTTTTGGGCACAAACACCCTTCTTCAGGCAGAGGGAGTCTGAACACCTGAAGAAGGGCGTTTGTGCCAGAAAGCTTGCAAAGAGCAATTTTTCCAAGTATTTAGTTGGTCTAATAAAAGAGATCACCTCTACCCAAAGAACCTTATCTGCCAATATCCTACAACCAGCACCCCTGGAAAGGGGGAGCAGCTCAGCTCTTACTGCTGGTTTCCAACTAGCTTTCATTGGAGCCTGTGGCAGCCCCTCACCCCAGGAGCTGGGGCTTGTGTCCGACCAGCCCCAGCTCGGTACAGGCTAATCCCAGCCCCAGGGAGCTCCTCCCGCTGCTAGCGAGGCCGAAGGCTGCTCCAGAAATCAATGAGCTCAATTACGCTCCCCTTTGTGCTCCAGGAGCGGTGATTAAGGGCTGGAAATGGAGCCCAGGGAGCAATTAGCAGGCACGCGTGGGGCTGCCCGAGGGGATGGATGCTGCTCGGGGAGGGCAGGGCCGCCCCCGCCGAGGGCTCCTTGTCTCTGCCCAGGCCTTATGGAGGAGGCTGCGGGCTTCCCCCAAAGCAGTGTCTGCCCTCCCACCCCCCTCGGCCTGCAGCCGCTGGGGGGGGGGGGGGGGCCTTCCCCACGTGCG